TATTCAGGGTGCTTGAGGCAGGAGGATTGCTTGAGCCCAGGAGGTGGAGGATGCAGTGAACTGTGATTGCACCACTGCACTCCAGCCTGGGCGACTGAGTAAGACTGTGTCTTGGAAAACAAACAAAAAATACAGTAAATTTTAAAAATTAGGATGTGCTGGTGCACAGCTGTAGTCCCAGCTACTCAGGAGGCTGTCGCAGGAGGATCGCTTCAGGCCAAGAGTTCAAAACCAGCCTGGGCGATGTCATGAGACCCCCCCCCCACCTCGGCCACCATCTTTACGGAGAATAAAAAAGTTATCTGGGCATGGTGGTGAACACCTATAGTTCCATCAATTCGGGAGGCTGAGATGGGAGAATCGCTTGACACTGGAGTTGGAGGCTGCTGTGGGCCGAGATGGAGCTAGTGCACTGCAGTTAGGCAACAGAGTGAGACCCTGCTTCAAAAAAATAAATAGGGGCTGGGCGTGCTGGCTTACGCCTATAATCCCAGCACTTTGGGAGGGGGAGGCAGGCGGATCACTTGAGGTCAAGAGCTCTAGGCCAGTCTGGCCAACATGGCAAACCCTGTCTCTGCTAATAATACAATTAGCCGAACGTAGTGGTGTGCGCCTGTAACCCAGCTACTTACGAGAATCACTTGAACCCGGGAGGCAGAGATGGCAGTGAGCTGGGATCGCACCACTGCACTCCAGCCTGGGCGACAAAGCGAGACTCTGTCTCAATAATTTAAAAAATAATAAAACTAAAGAGGCTCGTGAGAGGCAAGTCATCCGCCTGAGCCACTTATTTCACACATCTCAGGAAGCCTGACGAAGAGTTCTGGGTTTTATTGTCTCCTGCCATTCAGGGGGACTTCCTGGAGGAAGCTGACCACCAGGAGGCATCGGCCTCAGTCCCGAGGGTCGCGCGTCGCACGGCCGGTGGAGGTGGGGGAGAGGGGGCCACTCCGGGGCCGAGCGGACCGACTCCGCCCGCATCTGGGGCCCCCCGTCACGTGACCAGCCGGGCGCCCAGGTCACGTGCCCGGGCGGGAAGGGGGGTGCTGTCGTGGGCGACAGGCGTCCCGGCCGCGGCGAGCGGGGCACGCGAGGAGCGCACGAGGCGAGGCGGAGCGGGCCGGAGCGGCAGAGGGAGGCGGCGGAGGCGGCAGCGGCGGCGGCGGCGGCAGCGGCGGAGGGGGCGGCCCCGCGTCCACATCACGTGGTGCGAGGCGGGCAGCCATCTTGCTACAAACACAAACACAGAGGAGCGGCCGCCGCGGTAGCGCCAGCGCCCCCTCCCCCGCCGCCGCCGCCGCCGCCGCCCCCCGGCCCCCGCCCC